TACAGCGTTTTTTTCACTTGTAGTGGAATTTTGTAAAAATTATAATAGTCACAGTAACATTTCTATACAGTGTAAAACGTTAGCAATAGCATTTCATTGTGTTTTTCAAAACATTTTGGTGAAATTGAATTTCCGTTTCATTTTTTTCTTTGTCTTCATGATTCCATATTTTTTATATAATTCATATGACAGCTGTACACTATGAATATTATAAATCCACAGGTTGTACTGAAAAAAACAAAGTTTACTGCTTGACTCTGCATCACAAGATGACTATTTTATGAGCAATTATACACAAAGAAAACCAGGCGAGGAAAGTTCCCCAAAATGAGCTTAGACCTTGAAGGGTTAAGAAGTGTATTGTCTTCTATTTTGGAGTGGATCCATGTTTATGACTGTAGTGCCACAGTGGGGGAAGTTTGTGTGCGTGTTTGTTTGTTTGTGTGTTTGTGTGTGGGTGCGTGTGTATGATCGGTGGTGGTCGGAAGGGCCGATGGCAAATACTGGTTGCCTCACTTCTGCCATTCTGTCCCAGGACATCTGTGGCTACAGTAGTAGTTTATTTAGTAAAAAGGCGGCACGGCCTCTCAGCAAGAATGTCCTGGGTTCGAATCCTGGTTGGAACAGGGCCTTTCTGAGTGGAGTTTGCATGTTCTCCCCGTGTCTGTGTAGGTTTCCCCTACCACTAAAAACATGTATAATAGGTCTGGCATGCGCCTCCTGTACTGGCGACCCCGCTCCCATCTCTGTGTGGAGTGAGAGACAAATGCCCAAAAACTAACAATTGTAAACCGCTTTGTGACTCTGGTCTGTGGAAGACGGTAAATAAAGATTACTTACTTAACTATTTAAACTTCTGCAAAACTTGTCTTACATGTGTGAATGTGTTTTTCAAATGTGACTCTTTTGAGCAATTGCAATGTCAAAAAAAATAATCCCTATTAGATATTTTGCCAAAATCTAGCTGCCCTGTTACCTACAGTCGATGTCCATGATTGACATGTGCACATATGACACACTCCCAGTGTATGTCCCTACGGCCAGATACACACTATGAAGAGATACGCACTATGAAGAGATACACACTATGAAGAGATACGCACTATGAAGAGATACACACTATGAAGAGCGACACCACTGGACTCTCTGATTATTTGTATGACCCGTGCATGTGAGAGAGGCAGGGCGAGCAAGACAGCCGAACGATCCAAGGCTACAGAGATTTAATCTGGCTGCTGTGGTCATGTGATTAATCGTGGCGAGGGGCCAGGGGATAGTGTAATTTATGGTAAGGGGGGGGCGGGGGCACAACACATTTGGAAGGGTGCTGCTCCTGAGGGAAATCTCACTCTTAAACCAATCCGGTATGCTTGTCCGTCTCTCCATCCCAAAAATGTGACAGATGTGGTTACACTTCATTGTTGTTGTTTTTTGCAGGGATAAAATAAGGAATTTTGACATTTTTTAAATTTTATTCTTTATCATAAGGGTTCTTTATTTGGCCAATCTAGAAACGTGGGAATCATTTGTACTATTAACTGTTTTAACTGTTTTTTTTCTGTACTTTTCCTTTCACCATATGAATTATTACAACACCATATACTGTATTTCTTTCTGGACGTAGCACATCACCTTTATGTAATAATGTTGCGTTCATGTGACATCACAACATTCCAAAGAACCTATATTTCAGGGATAGCCGCAGGTTAGAGCATTTATCAACAATTATGGACATTGGTCAACTCCCCGCTATGGACCAATACCTACAGTGCCTTGTGAAAGTATTCGGCCCCCTTGACCCTTTCAACATTACAGAGACTTGATTACACACAGGTGCATTCTATTTATCATCCTCAGTCATTTAGGACGACATTGGATCATTCAAAGATCCTCACTGAACTTCTGGAGTGACTTTGCTGCACTGAAAGTAAAGGGGCCGAATAATATTGCACGCCCCACTTTTCAGTTTTTTATTTGTTAAAAAAGTTTAAATTATCCAACAAATTTTATTCCACTTCACGATAGTGTCCCACTTGTTGTTGATTCATAACAAAAAATTTAAATGTTATATCTTTATGTTTGAAGACTGAAATATGGCGAAATGTTGAAAGGTTCAAGGGGGCTGAATACTTTCGCAAGGCACTGTATGTGTTCTCTATTCTGTGTTTGAATTATGTTTGATTCTCTGATCTGTGTTGTCGATTTCAACAGTTTTGTCAAGTCCTCTGAGATAACTACTGTTGTGATATAGGGCTATACAATAATACATTGCATTTAATTGAATTGAAGATGTGTAATTGTCATAAGTCTTAGTTTATCCCCATTTACGGGACAAACCACATAAAACAACTGCCAAAGTTTAACATCTTTGTCAACTTTGGTCTAATTATCTCCTCAAAAGGGTGTCTAGAAGTGGTGAAAATATTCAAACAGCCTATGCATGATGTTGGCCAGTAGAAAGCTGAGTCTAACCATTATCAAATTAATCAAGGTCTTAACTTCTTCCCACTCTTTTTTGATAAATAAATAAATAAAAAATAAATAAATAAAATAAAAATCATACTGTATATTTGTATATTATTATGTATTGTGTGTTTTTTTTTTTTGTTTTTGTCATTCATTCATTCAAGGAAAATTGTGGAAAACATTTGGACATTTCTTTCAAAAACTGCTTATTTTCCATAGAGTTGTACTGGCACCGGATCTCCAACTGAAATAGAATTCTACAACATGAATACTACCTATTAGCTGACTAAAACCAAACTCCTCCAAAGCAATATATTCAAAAAGTATCATATACGTCTAGGACATTATATCTCATTTATAAATTCTGACATTAAATACACAGGGGAAGACATTTCTATGGAAACAAATAGTAAAAGGGTAACCTCTTAGTTACAACAAATCAAGTTTGAGGAGATGCTGTCCTCTCACTGTAAGAACTCTCATGCTTGTGTCGGGAAAGATCTATTTTTGTCATGAAATCTGTGGATGCAAATTGTGGAAAGTGCAGTTTGCTGAGCTTCATGCATCATTCTGGGCTCCCGCTGTCCTCCTGGCTCAGGCCCATGTCGCGGCTGTGGTGACCTCTCCATCCTTCAGGCCACCGCTGCTGTGCCAGTGTGTGTGACTGTGCTCGTGTTTACTTTATTTAATCTGCTTTCCAACTCCCCACAACTTGAACATCCGAGGGGCTTGAAGAGGAAGGTGTCGCGTGTCTGGAGCTTTTCTCTGCGTTTTGGGTTGTTTCGGTGGCTGCCAATACCAAGCAGTGCTGACGGCTGCAGTTTCCTTTGACCTTCCTGCCCAGCTGCTCCATCCAGCACAAGTTAAGACAGCACAATCAGAGAAAAAACATTTTGCAGTCAGAAGAAATGATTTGAAGTTCAACTAAAATGCATGAAAGTGTAACTGTCTATTGTGAGTATATAGTAGACATTTTCTGCAGATTTTTGATTATGCATTCCTTATGATATCATTACTTTTATAACTTGTTTGCACCATGAGCCAAAGCAAGTTCCTAGTTTTTGACTTCCTGTTACAAAGGCAATAAAAATACTTGTGAAGATAGGGCTGAAATACTTAAAATTTACAAATGCTAAATACAGTATCAAGTTTGTCGCAATATCTTTTGGCTACCTTCCCGTGGGAGATGTGTAGTGGTTTCTCGCCTAACCTTGTATATGCTTTCCCTATTTTTATTATGTAAGAGCAAAGTATAAGTAGCAGTTAATCACATCTTGACACTTGTCACTTGACTGTGCAATACAAAGTCAAAAGGTCCTGCCCAGGAAGGAATTGGTGAGCCATCATGTTATGTCATACTCCTCCTAATCACCTCTCAGTCCTAGAAAACCTGAACTGGCATATGAACGCAAACACAGCCTCAGAGGGAGAAACTGAAAACAGATATATGTTTATATATACTGTATGAAGTGGTCTGTCCCTCGTCCTCTCGCCCTTGAGGCCCCACTAATGACTCATGTTTACTGAGCATCTGACACTGGATCAATCACTACATTGATTTGCATCTTCTCCAGCGCTGGTGGTCTCATCAGACTTGTGAAAGTAGAATGAACTGTCTATTGGTTATGAAGTGCCTAATGGTTGCTGTATGATGCCGTAAATTACAATACATTAACAGACTATTGGTTAATAGTCGACAGTAGCTCAGTTGGTAGAGCATAGGTCTTTGGGCTGGAAGGTTGTGGGTTCAAGCCCATCTTGGGACCTGCTCCCACTAATGTCTGCTGTTGTTGTGTCCTTGGGCGAGACACATTGCCTGAAGCCCTCACTGAAACACCAAGGCTGTGGCACCACTGATGTAGCAGCCATATTCCTGTGGAATCACCACCTGCAGGGAATCAGTGAGGGACTGGTGCTTTGAGCAATGGGTGCAGCTCTCATTGCCACCCCCCGACCCAGAAATGGACTAATAAAGGGGTTGAAAATGAATTAATGAATGGTTAATAGTCAATATGAAGACGATTGCCAACACTATTGGACCACTGTACGTTGATATTTTTTGTCCAGATATTCATCATAGAAATGTATGCTCTCTATTCCTTTGTGTTTGCATTTTTCTGGATGGGTTTCCTCCATGCACCATAAGTCAATTTCCACAGCAAATGTTGTCCTGACCAAGCTGAATATCAACAAGACACATCCCCACTTATTCCCTTCTGATAATAAAGTTAATGTGAACTTATTTGAGCAAATTCCAGCACTCGATTTCTTTGATGAAGAATTTGATCCAGACATCGATTGATTGTCTTCCCCTTCATTTCGGATGAAGCAGCTCTTGATCACAGCCTCTGTACCTGTAGCACCTGTCGCTCTGCAGGTGGTGAGCAACATCGCCCTAATGAGCAGCCCCCGCCTGCACCATGCAAGGCTACTTCCTGATCCTTGATTATTTACTATTCATTGTAGTCTTCCCATCATCTCGGACCTGTTTCCCATGGGGAGACCTGAGATGTAGAGCTCTATGTGAATCCCCAATGTCGCCCCTAGAAGAAAAAGAGGTCCCTTCCCTGTCCAAGGATCATCTGGGTACATGCAAACTCCCTACAATGTAATAGTATTCTTTACTTCTCAATGGTCATGTGGCTATAGTCCATTGAGAAGTAAAGAATACTATTACATTGTATTTTTGATTTATTTTTACAGTTTTTATTTTATTTATTTAGTCTGTTTTTTGGTTTTTTGTTTTTTTACAAGGAATAGTTATCACAGAAAGCCTACTTTTACACTCATCTACTTCGTGTTCGTGTGAGGATTGTGACCGGGGCACCTGATAAATGCTTAAAGAGCTTCGGATGGAAATAACAAGATTACAATAAAGAGATGAGAAAGTGAGCTATTTGCACACAATTGTAACATCAACTAATATGTAACCTCGTTTGACATGTATTGACTGTGAGCTATATAAATTCAGAAGGATATTCAGAAAAATATTCAATTATGACATTGCACTTGAAGTTGTGCTTAATTGCCCAGTTTAAAGCTACTGGATGTATTTGGATGTACGGTATATGGTTGCAGTTTGGTTGTATGGTGTCCAGTATAGTGCTTTGACTGTGTGAACTGTTTGGACTCCGCTGGTATAATCGTGTTGTGACTGACACCCTCTCCTCTTCGTGCCTTCTCCGTGAACTCTGACTTGATCACATTAACTGGTGTATTTTGACTCACAGCCTGCGCGGGGAAATATCAATACAGAGAGGAATCAAAACACGTGCAGTCGTCTGCTTTTATATTGCCTCAGAGATGTTCTCCTCCGTGGCAGTTAAGGTTACCCCCTCTTGAGCCGTGACATCTCACCCACCCCTCCCCCTGCTGCTCCGTCAGTCCCCGCGCTGCCCGCCCCTCTCTCGGTCCACACTACCTCGCAGACGCACGGATGCTGCCGCTCCTGCCGCTGCATCCACTCCACTCCACTCTTTGTTTTGGTCCAAGATAGAAAGAAATGGAAGTGAGTAAAGCAAAACGCGGGGCATAAAAAGTATCGCTACACCCAAAAATGCCATTTTCCTGACTAAAATGTATCTGGATAAGCCAATCTATTCTGAGCTGTAATGAGATTAGGCTGTCAGGGTAGACATGGGTCGCGGCAGTGTGGCACCTCTCCTAGTGTTCCTCGGGGGAACCTTTAACCTCTCAGCGGACCTCCACAAGTGGACATGGCGTTTCTGAAGCGGAGGAACCAGCAGCGGACGCCGGCAGACATTAAACACTTGGATGCGCGCGTACCTGGACAGCTTTTACGCGCCCAGACCGAGAAGTAAACCAAAAAGTGTCCAAGATAGAGTCACTCACAGAAGACAAGATGAAGTACCAGAAGTACATTACGGTGATGCAAATGGCCATGGGAGTGACAGCATCCAACAAAGACTGCCTCCCGCAGAAGAGACAGCTGTGGTGAGTGCCAAAGAGGAAGTGCACGGAGCGCGTTTGCTTTCACGTGGAGCGATTGTCTTTCCATAACAGTGCCGTGATCCCCCCTCCCAAAACAGCCTTTTTGTTTCTGGATTCTTATACTCGGGGCAACATATATACGCTTAGACTATATATCTTGTCTGTTGCTTGAGATGTTTTGTTAAAAGGCGGGGTAGGGCATGTTGGATGGAGGATGGAGAGCATTGATGGACAGTTACAGTATGAGTATGGCGTTGTAGTCTATGCAACTAGTGTACAACACTATAACACAATATTGATATCATTCGAAATTTCCCCTCTTTGGGACGAATAAAGGAACTCTTATCTTAGCCTTTACAAGATAATAAGACATTAAAAATCGAAAATGTCCAGGGTCCCTCTACAGTTTTATTTGTTAACTAATTTTCACCCAACTTAAATTGTACTTCCTATCAGACTATTGAAGTCCAAGAATAATGTGTAGCCGATTTGTTTTGTTCCACTGCTCGTTATTGTTTAAACATAGGTCTTTGTGATTGACTTCAGGCATAAGCAGGAATATGTTTACACCTGTTCTTTCAGAACGTTTGTGTATGCCACTGTGCTTGATTCCTCAAAGGGCTTTGTCTATAATGAATACACTGTTTGTCAGGGAAGATGCTTCAACAACTGAATAGTATGACACTCAATGGTAAGATGAGATTTCAGAATGACTTACGAGTAACACTCACCTATTTTTCACTTTAATTTTGTCACTTAAGAATTGATGCTGTTATTTCTCTCTCTTCGCTCGCTTCTCTTGCTCTTTTGTACTCTGGATACAGTGCCTGAGATATTAAATGTTCTCCATGTCTAAAAAGTTGGGAAGCCCCTGATCATCAGTAGAGGGAGTGTTAAGTGGTGAGAACCCTGTGGTTGACAGTCGTCATGCAGAGCTCAAATATGCTCCCTGGTTGTAGCTCACGTTATTGCAAACACTTAGAAAGCTTTGTGTGTGAGTTGATTCTGACACTTCATCTTAAAGAGAGGAGCGGCGGCTTGTCTGTGCCCATCACATCACAGTGGGGGAGGGGTTTAGCCATTAGAAGAGTGTTACAGTATCTCCTCCACCGCCACTTGAAGTGAACGAAGCTGAACCCAGCGTGTGTCTGCACTTCTCTCATTCAGGTTCGGATCTTCAGATCAGAGGTGCTTCTTCTGCATTCAAAGATGCTTCATGGCCTTTTGGAAATAGTACAATGCATTCATCAACAAGTCTGACCGCTGTGAGATCACAGTTTGTCTTGTAATCAAAAGTGCCCAAGTTCAGAGACTCTACTGTATACTGGATACACCGATACCACTTTTATCAAAACCAATTCGAGTACTTTGATTTGATTACTTACCGATACGAGTAATGCATTGTGTTATCCCTAGAATTTATGAAAGTAATACAAATGGTACAAATAAATAGCTCCGGTATAGCAAAGGTGTTATACTCTGCGTGGCGGTGAGTTTTCAGATGTTTGATAAAGTTGCTGGTGTTATACCTGTTTGTTTTGGACCCACCTCGTGACAGTTTTGCATTACACAACATACAGCTTTAACTCTTGTCACTCTCGTTTACCTTAAAAGAAACTGCCATACGGCTGACATCCTGTCCATTTGCTGGTAGCTTGCTTGTGGCCGACTTTGGATGATTATGGCAAAATGTGCCGCACAGCTGTCTGCTGTCTAAATATTTATCTGTCAGAGTCACTCAAAACACTTTAAAATCTTGATGAAGTTTGAACTCAAAATGTGATGTATTTTTGAGACCCAGTCTAAAATGTAAACATCCCGCAAATCCGAAAGTCATGTAACACTTCTCTGTGAGTAACAACTGAAGTCTCCTCACCTGTGAAGGATAATAGCAATAATTTCCTTGCATTCATCCATTCATTTCCTTCTGCCTTAACTGCTGCCGGGTGGCGGGGGCAGCAGTCTTAACCCGAGACACCCAGACTTCCCTATCCACACACTTGGTCCAGCTCATTCGGAGGAATCCCAAAGTGTTCCCAGGTCAACTAAGAGACATATAGAGGCTACAGTGTGTCCCGAATCTTCCCGGTAGGACGTGCGTTCGGATGTGCGATTCTGCTATTTTAGTTTATATCTTTCCCCTTATTACTAGACTATAGGAATGGACAATGCTAACCCACAAATTTGGCTTTAAAAACATGTGGTTGAACATTATCCTGGTGTTTTTATTTACATAATGTCTTTATAAATCCAGAGATGACTTCTAAAAACTGACCAATCTGGAGCCTTCTGTCTCTGAATTCAGCTAATTGTGCAAGAGGGAACAGCCTCGCCCCTGATTGTCGCTTTGGTTGCTTGGTAGTTGCTGAGAAATTGGCTCCGCAGTTTCCCATCCATGGAGGCCACACTTCTTCCAAAATATACTGTGACATGGTTGATCTTTCCTAAAATGTCGCAGCTCCTGGACATTCACTAGTAGTTGGTAAATGGTGATGACATGTATAGTGCATTATAGCTATACTTTTTATATATGTTCATATTAGAATGGTAGCTCCTGTTGGTCTAAATGAAATCAGTCTTGCTGCTGCAGTTTTGGGAGTTGGATTTTAATGGGATTTAATATTGAAAAAAATACACTGTGGGAGAACACATAATGATGTATCAACAGAGATGACTGTAATTAGCTCGATATTCATAAACAGTTATTATTCAGTTGTAGAGAAGTCTAACTCTCTCTGAACAAGCTTTGGGTGGCTGCTCGTCTCCAGTTTCTCATCCTGCCTTCTGCATCACCTGCTCGACGGGGCAGAATGGCAGCGCCCCTGTCACTCCTGCCCTGTCTCGCTCTCCCCTGTACTACCACCACAGGAGGCTGTGAGGCGTGATCACACAAACTGACAAAGCCCCGTGTTAGTTACCGCAGCAAGAGCCTAAGTCCCGAAACCCTGTCATCATGATCATCACTTTTCACAACAATATATCCAAGTACTAGATCTTTTCTCTGCGGTTTTCTCTTGATCTCCTTAAGTCAAGAAGTGCCCTTCTTGGTTAGAGTTATCCATTTTGGAAGCATATAAAGCTGGCAGTCTTCATTTCTCCTTTACTCATATTACCCAGCAGTTTTCTATCCCATTCACTGTCTGTTAGGAAGCTGTATGATGATGTTAGTTTGGCAGTATGGTTGTAATCTCCAATCTCACGGTTTATGCCATTAAAGGGAACAGATTACACAGGGTTTACTGACTCATGGATGGCTCTCAGCGTGTTGTGGGAATGTGAGTGAACCTTTATTATAATTTGTTATTGCAATTAAGAGCTTTGTTATAAACACAGAGCAGTCGATGATTGCCTGTAAATTGGCTTATACATTTTTATAAACGACGGCCATTCTTTTCTCTGCCACTCGATTAGTGGATCAATTAATATAACTATCATATCAATGAATTCATAATATTGATTATTATCTTGGAATCAAATAAATGCATATTAGATATGCATAAAAAGTCAGATATAAAGTGAAAAGAGAGGAGTTTTTTCTTAGATTTTTTAATTTTTTATTTCAATTAATTGAAGTAATGTAAGTAAATAAAAAAAAAAAGATTAGTTTGATTATCTCAATTAAGTGGAAAAAGGACATTTACAATTGGTAGGTGATCTCTATATCCTAGATGAAAAAACAGCTGGAGTTAACATAATGGAGCGAGGAATATATGAATAGGTTAATAATTACATCCACACCAATAATTTATTCACTGATTATCAACATGACACCAATAACTGAGAAACGGTTTGGGAAAAAAGTTCTGGGTGACAGTAGCTCAGCTGGTAGAGCATTGGCCTTTGGGCCAGAGGGTCGTGGGTTCGAGCCAGACTTTCACCATCGATGTCTGCTGTCGTTGTGTCCTTGGGCAAGACACTTAACCTCTGGGAACACCAGTCACAGTGGGGCGGCTGCGGCTGTAAAGTGCCAAACTGCCGTTGTGTCCTTAGGCAAGACACTTTACCCCCATTGCCAAGAATGAGTCTGGTGTGTGTGTGAATGGTTGGTGGTGGTCAGAGGGGCCGATGGCACATACTGGTTGCCTCGCTTCTGTCTGTGTGCCCCAGGGCAGCTGTGGCTACAGTAGTAGTTTATCACCACCGTGTATGGAGTGAATGACACATGTGAAGCGTCTTTGAGTGTCCAAAAAAGCGCTATATAAAACTGATGTATTATTATTATATGTATGATGACCCAATTTCACATAGACTTTGTTATAAAAAACACAAACAAAGAACTAGACATGCAATGGCCAGGAAACAGCTCCTTCCAAAGCAACATCTTGTGGACAAGAGATGATCAAATTAATATTCAAACAAATCTGAGAATCCAAACCTATGACCATCTTCTCTTATCAACAACTATTTAATGGAAGGTAATGAGACGTCTCAGTATGATTTATGATATCCCTGTGATTAATGCAAACATGTTGTCGTATGCAGCTAAAATCTGGAAGTGGAAAATGTGAGACATTGAGACATGCTTCTACTCTGAAAATGTTGAAGTCAAGTGTTCGC